GTTCTCTCCCATTCCCTGCCTCCACAGGCCTCGAACCCTCTGTGGCAATCCCGGGGCTCCACCACCGTGTCTTCCGGAGGCCGTTTCCGCTGCCCATCTTGCAGGCATGAGGTTGTCCTGGACCGGCATGGCGTCTACGGCCTGCAGCGAAACTTGCTGGTGGAGAACATTATCGACATCTATAAGCAGGAGTCTTCGAGGTGAGCTGTGGGGGCCTCTTGTCCCTCTAGAGGGCAGGGCCTGGGGCGCAGCCTGGGAACCCCTCAGGGTTGAAGGGAAGGCACCGAACAACCTGCCCCTTCAGGTTAGAGCGGAGAGGGGAGCAGAGGAGGAGAAGGACTTGCCCAGGTCACTCCGCTCAGGGGGTCTCCGGTTCCTGGTCAATGCTTCGCCTTCAGTCTCCATCTGGGAAGGGCTGGCAGTCCACTAGCAAGGTCCTTGCCAACCCTCCATTACTTCCTGCCCCGTGGGACCTCTCTGTCTTCTGGAATGAAGGCTATTCTCGGATCTAAGCCTACTCTACCCTTTAGCACACATGTGTCAAACACAAGGCCCGCGGGCCAAATCCATCCCGCCAGGCCTTGCAATGTGGCCCGCACAGCGCTGTCATCACTGCACTCCGCTGCGTTTCCATCACAATGACAGTTTATGACTGTTCAGTAAACCATTCGGCCCGCGATTTAGGCTGGATTTTAGATTTTGGCCCCTTCTCTGATTGAGTTCGACACCCCTACTTAGCATCTTCTATTCCCCAAATGAAGAGCACTGTGGAAGTCACCTGCCCAGCCGTAGCACCAACTGCAGGGGCAGAAAAGGTGGTGATGGTTGGTAGAGAATGAAGGAAAGGTGTTCATGGGGCCTCACATTCTCAGTCGTCCTCCCGCCCCGGCCTGGCCCCTGACCCTCCTGCCACCCTGCCCGCTCTCCTCAGGCCACTGCACTCCAAGGCTGAGCAGCACCTCATGTGCGAGGAGCATGAAGAGGAGAAGATCAATATCTACTGCCTGAGCTGCGAGGTGCCCACCTGCTCTCTCTGCAAGGTCTTTGGTGCCCACAAGGACTGTGAGGTGGCCCCACTGCCCACCATTTACAAACGCCAGAAGGTATCAAGCAGCAGAGGGAGCAGGCATTCGGGGGTGAGGGCATAATCAGGGGCTCTAACTTCAGCCTCTTACTCCAATTGGTTTTAAGGTCCCAGCTCCATGGGTGACCGTGGGTGAGTCACTTGACCACTCAGGCACTAACTTTCCTCGCTTGTTCACTGGGGATGAAATGCCTACTTCTGAGAGTTATTTCTGGATAAAATAGGATAATGGCTGTACGCAGATACTTCAGTATGGTGGACTAGATACTCCCAAGGCCCTCTCACTATCACACAACTAGATTCTACATAAAATGTAACTTAAACTTATATTGGTAGGCACATTGGAACTAAAGGAAATCTCCAAGTAAGGGCAGTGGGGGGTGGGGGGGAGGAGGGGGGAGAGGAAGACAGAGTGAACTGAGAACAGAACTCTGGTGAGCACAAAAAAGGCAGGATTTCCCAGAGGGCAAATGCTGGCAATATTGCTGAGCTAGAGAGAGGAGATCATGTCTCCAAACACCTAGAAGATGGGGACCTGCAATGAAGACCCCCAAAGAACCCCGGGTTAAATTGGAATCCTAAGAACTGAAGTGGTCAGTTTCATCACCTGGCTTTAGCAAAAGCAAATTACAAACTCTGTCTGGAGAAAAAAAAAGAACTCAGTTTAAGCCCTTGGGCTTTTCTTAGATTAAGAACCACAATGATTAGCTCACAATTGATACACAAAGAAATGTACTCCATTACTGACGTCACCAGAAACAAACATTATTAGACTTATACTTCCAAGAAATTCAGATATTGGAATTGTTAAAGAATAGAAAGGCACTGGGTATAAAATGCTCTAAAAAAGATGGGATTAAAAAACAAGCAATGCAAAAAGAAAAAGAAAAAAAAAAGCAAGCAATACTAGACTATCAAAAATGCAAATATCACAAAGACCCAAATAGCGCTTTTAGAAATAAAAATACAATTGTTGAAATAAAACATTCAAAGAATGAATTAAGTGAGAGATTTCTCTGAAGAGAGAATTCGTAAATAGCAAGGGTGGGCTGGGGGGGGGGGGGAGTGGGGGTGGAGGGGAGCCTAGAGTGCAACGTTAGGAGATGAGCAGGTTGAGAGTAGGAAGGTCTAACACATATCTAATCAGAGTCACACAGTGAGAAAATAAAGAGAATGGAGGAGAAGCAATGTTATCCTAACAGACAATTATGAAGAATTTTTCAGAATTGATGGAAGGCACGAATCTACAGATAAAGCATCTAGCCCAGTGCCTGGCACTTGATGGGTATTTGGTGAATGTCTCACTTGGTGGTAGAGGACTTCCTCTCTCAACCTTCCAGAGGCACAGGGTGTGCCTCCACACTTCTTGGAAGGTTCTGCACCCTCTTGGTCTCTAGAATAGCTGCCCCGAAGATGCCCTAACGGTGGGGGGAGGGGGCAGTTCTCTCCTAGGCAGCCCTGGCTATGTGGGAGGGGTACAGTGCTAGACCAGGCCCTCCAGCCCTAAGCGCTGGCCTGTGTGTGTGGCAGAGTGAGCTCAGTGATGGCATCGCGATGCTGGTGGCGGGCAATGACCGTGTGCAAGCCGTGATCACGCAGATGGAGGAGGTGTGCCAGACCATTGAGGTAAGCCTGGGATGGGAAGCAGTGAGACTTTCTGGGCTCCCAGGGGGGATCACAGTAACGGGATGAGCTTAGCCAGGCTGCTGGAGTTGAATCTCAGCTCTGCCCCTCGCTAGCTCTGTGACTTCGGTCTGGTTACCTAACTTCTCTGTGCTTTGTGCTTTGGTTTTGCCTCCATAAAATAGCAATAATGGCAATGTTAGGGCGCCAACCTCGTTGGATCTTTATGAGAACTAAATATGATAAGTTCGTTCTAAATAAACAAGTGAGACATAGACAGCACCCATGAGACTAAAGTATTGTTATTTGCTGAGAGTAGATTTGAAAGTTCTCATCATATCTATAAAAAAAAAAGTGTAACTATGGAGGATGACAGATATTGACTAGACATCTTGCGGTGATCATTTCACCATAGATACAAATACGGAGTCATTGCATTACACACCTGAAACTTTTATGATACTACATGTCCATGACAGAATCTTTCCAAAAATCGGGACTTTTTAAAAAGGCCGCAGGCCGCGGGACAAATTGTTAAAAATCGGGACTGCCCCGCCAAAAGTGGGACGTCTGGTCACCTTACCATTATATCTCAGAAAACTCTGTGCTATTATTTCTGAAAAGATCTGGGCACCAGCAGCCCTTGGCTGGAGTTCCGGCTCTGCCACTAATTTGGGGTGTAACTGACAGGCCACTTTTCTTTTGGGGCCTCCCCGCTTTGCACTGAGTGGGGAGAGGGACGTTGGCCGGGGAGAGGAGTGGGGCGGACGCTCTCAGACCACCGCCCCCCTCTCTCAGGACAACAGCCGGCGGCAGAAGCAGCTGCTGAACCAGCGGTTTGAGACCCTGTGCGCGGTGCTGGAGGAGCGCAAGGGCGAGCTGCTGCAGGCGCTGGCCCGCGAGCAGGAGCAGAAGCTGCAGCGCGTCCGGGGCCTCATCCGCCAGTACGGGGACCACCTGGAGGCCTCCTCCAAGCTCGTGGAGTCCGCCATCCAGTCCATGGAGGAGCCGCAGATGGCGCTCTACCTGCAGGTGGGCCCCGGGTGGCTGGCGGGATGCGCAGTGGCTAGAGCGCCCCCTCTCCCCCCTCCCCTAGCACCTCCCCAAGACCCAGGTTCAAGGCCGATCTCTGGCACCTACATGCCCCTCCCCCCCCTCTCCACGGCCTTGGGCCAGTCACCCCCTCTGAGTGCGTCTTCGGAATTGGGATGTGTCTCCCTCCCCCTGCCTACCGGCCCTCCGGGATGCGGTGGGCATCAGAAATGGACTGTGGCCAGCGGTGGCACAGCTGACTCTCGCCCTCGTTTCCTCCTTACAGCAGGCCAAGGAGCTGATCAATAAGTGAGTGGGCGGGGCCGGGAGGGGAGGAGGGGGCTGCCCCGGGAAGTGGGGGGGTGGGATTTGGGGAAGAGGGGGCTTGGGGGTGCTGAGAGCGGCCGCGCCCCTGCCGCAGGGTCGGGGCGATGTCCAAGGTGGAGCTGGAGGGGCGGCCGGAGCCGGGCTACGAGAGCATGGAGCAGTTCGCCGTGAGCGTGGAGCACGTGGCCGAGATGCTGCGGACCATCGACTTCCAGCCGGGTGAGGGCGGGGGCCGGGAGGGGCCGGGCCGGGGCGGTGTGTCCGACCCTCCGGAGGGGGCGGCGGGCCGGGCCGCAGGGACCCCTCCTCACGGCTCTCCCCGGCCCAGGCGCGGCCTGGGAGGAAGAGGACGAGGAGGCGGCGCTGGATGGAGACGAGGGCGGCGCGGGGCCCGAGGAGGAGCGGCCGGAAGGTGAGCGTGGCCGCGGGGCGCGGGGCGCGGAGCCCGGACATTTCCGTCCGCCCCACCCCCTTAGCGCAGGGCCAAGGGACAGGTTCTTTTCTTTTCTTTTCAATTAAATGTAATTCCCATCACCATTTCCCCCTGTGCCCTCCCCCCGCTCCGCCCCCCGCACTTTCCCTGCGCTTTGGGGGAGCAGCGGGTGGGGAAGCGGAGGGGCACCCACGTGGCGGGGGAAGGGACGAGCCGGGCTCGGCGCCGCTGGTTCCCTGCAGCCCCGCTCACCGCGCTTTCTCTCCGGGGACAGGCCTGCACTGACCCGCCCCGCCCCGTGGGGACCCCGCGCCCCGGGGCCGGCGCCGGGTTCGAGGATCCGCGCGGAGACCACGCGCGCCCGCCGCCGGGGAAGCTCAATAAAGGCTGAGGCGTCCGACCCGCGGCTCCTGGCTCCGCTCACTCAGCCCCATCCGTCCACCACCACCCCCTCTCCGGACCGGGGACCAGCTGGGGGGGTGTGGGTACGGCGGAAGTGAATGAACCCCAATTGGGCACCTCACTCATTGAAGGCACGGACTCCCCAGCCCAGCGCCGCGGGCAAAGCGCAGGGGCGGAGGGGGGTGGTGGTGGACGGATGGGGACGAGCCACTGGGGGACTTTTAGGGGCGACGGAGATCCGGACAGTTCCCCCAAGTGCTCCCCTGGCAGCACTGCCCCCTCACCTCACTGCGGCCCCCCGCCCCGCGGTGGAGGGCCCCCCGCGCCCCACGACAGAGGCCAGAGGCTCTTGAGCACTTTTATTAAAAACTCGTAGCGCAGAGAGTGTCCGGGCGTCCCCGGCCGCGCCGGCCCCGCGGGACTGGGTCCGTTCCGGCCGAGCAGGTGGCAGCCCGGGGGCGGGGGGTGGGGTCGAGGTTTCCGGGGGGGCCCCGGGCCCCGCGGGTCACTTGCCCACCGAGTCGAAGAGGATGCGGTTCTGCTCGGCGCGCTCCCGCTGGCTCTGCGTCCGCGCCAGCTCCAGCAGCGTCCGCAGGAGGTGGAAGGTGAGGTCGATGGACAGCGGGGGGTCCTCCCGCCGCGGCCGCTCGCCGCCGCCCGAGGTCGCAGCTCCCCACCGGCCGGGCCCCGCGCGGTGCGGGAAGCGCTCCGCCAACAGCAGGAGGAGCGCGCGGGCTCCGCCGCCCTGGGTCCGAGCTCCGGGGCTCCAGCGCAGACTGGGGTCCCGGACACTGGCCGCCGCCGCCGCCTCCTCCTCGGGGCTCCACTGGCCGCTCCCCGGGCGCAGCTGGGCCAGAAGCAGCAGCGCCGCCAGCAGCGCCTCTCGCCCGGCCAGCCTCATGGTGCCGCCGCCGGCCCTGGACACACAGGAGCAGCGCGGGGTGAGGCGCACTCGGGCAGTCGCAGGTGGCACCGCTCCCCTTCCCGTGCACGTCCAGCGGCCCCGCAGGTCCCCTTCGGCTGTGCCCGGTGCCCACAACCTTCCTTCCCTGCAGCCCCAGCCGCTGCCCGGTCCTGTGCCCCCCTTTCCTCTCTCCTCCCCCCTCCTCCCTCAGCGGCCCCTGTAAATGCGCCGAGTCCTGGTGCAGAGGAGTCCGCGGCGCTCCCAGGCCACTCACAGGTGCGGGAGAGCGGTGCGCGGGGCAGGACGCAGCTCCGGGCGGTCCCTGGGCGAGCGGAGGGAGGGCGCCTGGGGAGACACGGGGTCTGTCCCAGGACCGCCGCCAGCTTATATAGTTCCAGGGCAGCTCCAGCTGACGTCAGCCAGGAGCATGCACTGATGGTGGAGCAATGACGGTCGTGGCTTCGAGTCCAGCGGGTCCCCCGAGGGGCAGGTCTCTGGGGCTTGCGCTGGAAGCGACAGCGGACTCCAGTGAGCAATTCGCTGGCTGGGCGGTAGGATTGTTCTGGAAGCCATGAGAGTCATTCACCACTGAGAGAAGTCTGCAGTGAGTAGGTCCCCAGACCAGACTAGATCGTGGGGCTGTCCGTGGTGCTGACCCTGCCCTCTGCCCCCAGAGGTGTCAGTGGCATGGGAGAATGCTGTGCTGCAGGACCCAGCTTTGTAAACTGAGGCAACCAGGATGCCACAGCTGGCGCTCAGCCATCACCATGTACCCACCCAAGAGGCAGCTGAGGCAGGCTGAGTTGGCCAGGATTCTTTTTGATCTTACTCCAGCTCCAGGATCTAAATCCTAGGGCTGACTAGACACCATAAAAAAAGATTTTTGGCCTCAGAATACTTTCAGAGCATAAAAAGCTGATCCATCTCTTCTGATTTTACCCCAGGATGGTAGTTTAGTCAAGGTAAATTTTCTCCTGGGAATCACAGTAGCACCATTCCTGAATCTTAGGCTTCCTGGTTAAGATCCCTTGGTAGAAAGTAAGGAAACATGGTGTCTTACGTAGTTCATTGGAGGTGTCGTAACAACAAACAAACAAAAACCTGGGTGGCTTATAAATGAGCATTTATTTCTCACAGTTCTGGAGACTGGGAAGTCCCAGATAATGGTGCCAATGAACTTGGTGTCTGCTGAGGACCCGCTTAATGGTTCACAGATGGCACTTTCTTGCTGTGTCCTCACTGGCCGCTTTTATAAGGGTACTATCCCCATGAGGCTCTGCCCTCATGACCTTTTCACCTCCCAAAGGCCCCACCTCCTAATACCATCACCTAGACACTGGGTTTTCACATGATTTTGGGGTTATACAAAAAAATGCAATCTCTAGGACATGGGCTCAAATTTCTGTTCTGCCACTAACTTATGGTGTGGACAGGTCCTCACTTCTATAGACCTAGTTGTCTTCATTTGTAAAGACTGGGCGTGGAGATCTCTAGGCTTTTCTTTCCATCTCTAGAAATTTTGACTCCTTAGTATTTTTCTATTGGGTCTTACTCATTGCCTCTGCAGGTTCCAGATTACATTTGTATAGAGGTACCCGATTCCATATTTATGGCAGTACCACATAAAGAGTTTGAAGGGATCCCCAAAGAACTGGAGCTACACTGGGGTTGGGCATGGTTGGATAAACGACAGTATCAATGAAGAGTGGGGATAAATGGCATTTGCCAGGATATGGGCATAAACTGAAGTTGCCAAGATCATATGGTCCAACAAATACTATGGACTGCCTATTATGTGGTAGGCATAAGACCACAATAAAGATTTTCGTGAATTTAAAGGGAGTCAGTTTACATTTTAGAGTGAAATAGGCCATTTCATAGTGCTGACCCTATTAAGTTCTGGTCAGCAACTAAACCCCATGAAAACTGGTGTGCCCACTTTGAAGAGGCCATCTGACCGTTCCAGGGTCAAGCTGCATCACTGCGAGGCAAGCTCAGAACCGATGTGCCTTCCAGGACAGGTAGGAGTTCCAGATAACTGCAACGCACTGGACGACAGCCAACCTAGGGAACAGGAACGGCATCGTGAAGAGGATGGATCAGGAGAAAGCAAAGGGGGAGATTCAGGGAGAGTGTGATGGAAGAGGGGGCGTTATCTCTGAGAACATCCATATTCAGATCTCCTTCCTCCAGCCCTCTACGGAGGGACGTGTGGCTCAGACCAGAAGACAACCAGCTCAGTGCTGTCCCAGACTCCTGCACAAGAGCCTCAAAGTGTATCGCCCTCAGCAGCCATCTTGCCTTGCGTGGCTCTGTTGTTCATGCCCCTGAGGAGGCTCCTTCTAAACACACATATCTATGCACCTTGTACCAGCTGAGATCTCATCTTCAACGTGTACTATCTGCCATTGAAAGTAGCGCCTTCTCTTTTCTTTACATTGTTTTAGCTTCAAAGACTGTTGCAAGGACCCTCATGTTTAAATTTTGGTTCGTAAGTCTATAATTCCTTTTGACCATGTCCTCTCTGAAGAGTTTTGTATTTTTCCCTGTTCCCAAAGCCCCCTCACTTACAATAATTTTAACTAGTCATCTTGAATTTGACTTTTTTAAATTGTAGTTTCAGTAACTACCTTTAGTATTAGGACAAAATAATACTTTGCAGTGGGCTAACCCAGTGGTCGGCAAACTGAGGCTCGTGAGCCACATGCGGCTCTTTGGCCCCTTGAGCATGGCTCTTCCACAAAATACCACGGCCTGGGTGAGTCTATGTTGAAGAAGTGGCATTAGAAGAAGTTTAAGTTTTAAAAATTTGGCTCTCAAAAGGAATTTCAATTGTTGTATTGTTGATATTTGGCTCTGTTGACTAATGAGTTTGCCGACCCCTGGACTAACCTGACCTGTGGACTAACCTCACCTATATGGCTCTTTGGTCACTTTTCTGTGTAATCTAGGCTGCAGCCCCGAGGAACTGTCCCTGCAGCAGGGTGGAGAGCTCGGGTGGGATGAGCCAATGACTGGGGAGCAGGACCCTCCCTGGGAAGATGAAGAAGGTCAGAGGGCAGGTACTCTGAGACAGGTTCTGAATAAAATGTTCAGGAGTCTAGGAACTCTGATTAGGCAGAGTATTCTGGGAGGCGTCTAAAGTAGCTCAAGCCCCAGCTGGCTTGCCCCTATTGGCCCTTGGACTGAAGGGTCCCAGGTTTGATTCTGGTCAAGGGCATGTAGTTTGGTTACCTCCCCGGCCTCAGTCAGGGCACATGTGGATGCAACCAATCGATGTGTCTCTCTCACATCATGTATCTCTATGTCTCTCCCCCTCCCTTCCACTCTTTCTAAATATCAATGGAAAAATATCCTCAGGTAAGGATTAACAAAAAAACAAATTAGAAAAAAAAAAACTAGCTCAAGGTTGAATGAAAATCGGTCTATCTACAACTATGCATAATGTGGCTCTCCCTTGAAGAGTGGGGTAGGGAAATGGCATACCTGTAATAAAGGGGAACCAGGTAGAAGTTGGCTAGCTGCACAGCAGGCCAGAGCTACGAGAGAGAGAAGGGAAATGTTGGGGAGCTGCCTCCGTTAGCCCACCCCATCCAGAGTGAAATGGGCCATTTCATAGCGCTGACCCTATTCAGTTCTGACCAGCAACCATACCCCATGAAAACTGGCCCATGGTAAGTTGTAAACAAAAGCAAGCTGAACAACTGGGTGACTGCTTCTGAGTGTGCCTCCCACACTGGGAATGAGAGAGTAAGCCCACCAAGGGGTTTCTACGTCAGGAGCACCCCCAATCCCTGTCAGCTCTTACATAGTAGTTGGCGATGAGGGCATCAGGATAATCCTAAGGAGACAAAGAAGGAAGAAATTACTTGCACTTCCATGCAGCTCCTGCCTCCCAGTCCTATCACACACAGACCTCTGTTCAAAGAACACATATCTGCACCACCCCTCTCCTGCAGAGCTGGGTCTCTACCTGCACATCCACCTGTCTCACCCCCATGAAGCTTGCCTCATTGCCCTGACATGCATCTGGACAGCCAGAGATCTCCCCACACCTGCCCAACTCACCCGCCGGAGTTTGGCCCAGTTGTCCCGGGCTGACAGCCCATTGAGCGCCCCTATCAGAGAGAGGAAACTGCCTAGAAAACATGGGGCAAAGCACCCCTGGGGGAGAGAAATGAAAATGCTGTGAGCACCTCAACCCCTGTCCCAATGCAGCTCACCCTCCTCACCCCCCTTTCCTTCTGCTCACCTGATCCAACAACATCTTCTTTAGAGCATCCACCTTGGTGGTGCCAGGGATGAGCCGGTCCAAAACCTTGTACCAGCCTCCTATGACAGGGCCCTGAAAGCAAACCCCAGGGAGGGGCAGTGAGGGAAGCAGTTGGCTTTTACATCACACAGCTCCTCCCCCAAGCATTAGAAACCAAACCCCAGCACAAGCATTCACTCAGGTTAGCGTAGATGTGTGAGAAGCCAAGGGAAACAGACCACTGTCCAATCCACCAGCAGCCCTGCTATGGGCGGACTTACCACAAAGCCACAGCCCAGAGAGGCCATGGTCAGGGTCCGGCTAATCTGGTGTTTCCGCACACCTCGCCTCTCCACCAGCTGCTGTGAGATAATGTCACCCAGGCCCATCAGGGACCCTGTGCAGGGTACACAGGTGTTGTCAGGACACCTCCCAGATGGGCTGCCACTCCAAGGAGGTGGATCAGCCTGCTGACTGAATGAGGCTCTGGCACTCTGGGCCCAAGGGCTTAATTCTGGGACAAATGGCCTGGTCCCTTGCTGATGCTTTCAAGTTATTCTCTCCCGAGGATGGTGACCCCTCATGTGTGACTTGTTAAAAACTGTGATGAGCAGCCCTGAGCTGGTCAGACCTGAGAACTGCACGGAGCAATCAAGTGAAGTCAGAGTCAGAAACTGAAGCTAGAGGAAGGAGAATCTAAGGCATCAGGGACTGAGAACCGCACTGTCAGAATCAGAAAGGCTTTTCACGTAATTTAGAGGTATGGGAATAGAGGTCTGCAACCTCACATAGTAACCAGGAAGTGGCAGAGCCAAGGCAAAGCCACATGGTTTGATTTACTAGACAATTTTCTTTCCAGGACACCGCACTGTGAGTAGGTCATGTATAGAACGATAAGGAACCCTGGTATTTCCCCAAAGCCCAAGGCAGGACCCTGGTCAATGTCCTTCACCTTGGTCTTGGGGTCTCGAGTTGTGGATAAGAGCAAGAATAACTCTTTTTCAAAACATGAGTGTTCAAATGGTCCTAGTTAGGAAGATGGCGGGCTGAGGTGGTAAGAGTCCCCATAGGGAGGAGTCCCGCCCACCTCTTAACACAATCAGGTAAACCCATTTCCCCACTCACAATCTCAGATTGAGCTGGCAATAGGTATTATAGCCATTTCTCCCCCAAGCTTCTACACCTGCTTCCCCCTCCCCGACCCCGCTTCGCTGGCACCGATACCCAGCTCTAAGCAGCCCTTGTCAGATGCCCGTACCAGGAAACAAGGCTATTTACAGAGCCCCCCTTCAGCTATGGTGGCGTGATGGCTTCTAGCAAATACACTCATATATACAGGGCTGCTTGGGAGTGACCGCATGATCTCCAGCTCGCCTGCCCATCTCACGGAGTAATGAGTCCCCCTCCAGCCCTGTAGCCACCACTGTCCTTGTGCCCTCAATTAGCTCTGGGCAAACACATCCTTCAACCCTTCCCTTGGCCGGGAGCTGGCTCTGACGTCCGTGCTGGCTGCACACTCACTGCTCTTCCCCCGCATCCTCTGCACAGCCCGGCCCCGGAGCAGCCTCGTCAGAGGCCGCTGAGCAAGGCTGAGCTAGAGCTGGGGCGCCTGTAGGTGACCTGGGCTGCTGGTCTCAGCACAGCCATTAGGACAGCCCTGCCTCTCCTCTCCCTGAAACTCCCATGGTGGGGGAGGTCCTCCCCAGAGCATGACTACTCGCCACCTGCCAATACCTACTGACAGGATCCCAGGCATCTTTGTTCTCTCACCCTTAGCCGTACATAGTCGATCCCCTGGCAGGTGCTCCGGGAATAAAGGAGAAATGTCAAATGCACTGCCCCAAACGACAGGGCTGCTCCGGGAAAGGGAGTTAAAGAACTCTGAGTCTAGCCCAAAGGACCACGTCAGGCTCAAGGTGTGAGGACCAGTGGAACTGAAGGCTAGCTCCCCTAGTTAGCACGTAACTCCCTATGCCCCTCCCTGACAACTTGGGGTCACCAGCTGCGCTCCCAGGCCCGGGAGGGAGCCGCTGTGGCCACGCTTAAAGGGAAGGAAGGTGCGGGCACTTGTTAAAAACACTAACAGCTTGACATTCTACTTTAGCAAGGTGTTGAGAGTTTACAAAGGGCTCTCATCCTCACAAAAGGTCTGGCAGGCAGGGGTCCCACATCCATTTGCCTTTGAGGAAGAGGGACTTGATGAGACGTGGAGCTGGGGGCCTGGACCCAGAGCTTCTCTCCAGGAGGAACAGGGGATTCCCAGAGTACCTGAGACTTGGCTCCTGTGGCTGCTACTCGCAGGGGGTTCCTGCCCTCTGCCAGAACCAGACCCCAGAGGCCTGCATCTCTAAGATACTTCTCTGTTTTTTGTTTGTTTTGTGGTGTGTGTGTGTTTTTTTTTTTTAATATATTTTATTGATTTTTTACATAGAGGAAAGGAGAGGGATAGAGAGCTAGAAACATCGATGAGAGAGAATCATCGACCAGCTGCCTCCTGCACACCCCCTACTGGGGATGTGCCCGCAACCAATGTACATGCCCTTGACCGTAATCGAACCTGGGACCCTTTAGTCCGCAGACCGACGCTCTATCCACTGAGCCAAACCGGTTTTGGCACTTCTCTGTTTTTACTCCCATGAATGTGACACCATCTCTGTTCCTTGTCACCTGTGGGGAGTGAAGCAGCCAGGTTCCTGGGGAAGAAACTGTCACACAGACAGCTGTGTGTTTCCACTCTTCACGCCTGCCAACTGTCAGCAGCAAACTCAAGGCAGAGCAGGAATGAAAACCAAAGTCCCAACTCTAGCCCCGTCGCCCTGCAGCCTTTGAGAAAGGTGGATTCCAGGCCCCTAACCATGCACACCAAACCCCAGAGACACCGAGGGACAGGGAGCAGCAGGCGAGGCGCTGTGAAGCTCAGGAGCCCCGCCAGTTCTGTCCATTTCAGACAGGACAGGACCGACATTCCCTTCTGCCCACTAATCATCAGGCCCCTGAGCCTCAGCCACTCCAGGGTGGTCTATGGCTTCGCTCCCAGCACAGAGCAAGGCCTACATTTCTGGTCCAAGTGGCTGGGCAGGAAAGGCTGACATCAGATTCCGTATTCCACTTCCCCGAGCCCAGTCCTGGGAGCCCTTTTAGGCAGATGTGGTTGGTCTGGCCCTCCTTACAGTGGGCTTGTTCCCAGGGATTGGGGCTGGAGGCCTGCAGAGACATACTGCCCGAGCCCTGATGGCCAGTGATGCCCCAAAGCTAGGCTGGGCACAGAGCCCAGTGGGCAGACGTTGGCACTGGCGTGACGTCATACCCCTGGGCAGGTGCCAGTTCTCATGCCGTCACTCGAGTCCAAATTCAGCAGAGTGGAGGCGGGATGGGGCGGGGGATAGGGGTTGCGGGGAGCCTGCCTCTGAGCACAGAGGGAATTGGGACCACTCCTCTGTCCGCTATGGAAAAGCCCCACTTCTATCCCCTCTTCCTAGGTACAGGTGGGAGTGAGTTCTCTATTCTGTTCCTCTCCTGGCTTTTGTGCATGGAGTCTTAGGGGCAAGGAAACAAGTGTTAGTGGAGGAGAACAGGCTGGGGGCAGAGAGCTGGCAGGAAGCGTGTCCTTGCGTCCAGGAGACCCGCGCTGTCGGGTAGAGCTGCTGCTGTGGGGCCAGTGGTGCTGTTGACTCATTCCTCCCCAGAAGCCTCCAGCCACTCAACAGCTGCCTGGCAGAGGGGCTTGGGCTGGCAGAGCCCACAGGGAGCTGGAGCCCAGCAGAAAGGGGGGGAGTGCATCCTCTGGGCTTGGTCTGAATGTCTTCCCCATTCCTGACCTGGACCTACCAATCCTGTGTTTGCTAGAAAACGAGACCAGAGCACTCTGTAGTGTGTTGGGTGTCTAAGCCCAGACCAGCTGGGGCCGCACTCAGCATCCTGAGTCCCCAGGAGCCTCAAGTGCGGGGCAGCGCATTGGCAAGCGCCATAGGTTCTAATGCCAGCTCTCCTACCGATGAGGTGAGACCTCAGGGCATGTGTCCCTCCTTGCCTCAGTTTCCTTTTCTTTTTTTTCTTTTTAATATATTTTATTGATTTTTTACACCGAGGAAGGGAGAGAAAGAGGGACAGAGAGCCAGAAACATCAATGGGAGAGAAACATTGACCAGCCACCTCCTGCACACCCCCCACCAGGGATGTGCCCGCAACCAAGGTACATGCCCCTGACCGGAATCAAACCTGGGACCTTTCAGTCCACAAGCTGATGCTCTATCCACTGAGCCAAACCGGTTTTGGCTCAGTTTCCTTTTCTATGACAGCAGGGGCTGGACTGGATGAGCTCTTATATCCTGGGTTGGTTCAGACTCCAGGAAAACCAGTGTCTGCAGAAGCTCAGCTGCTCCACAGAAGGACCAGGTTGGCAAAGATTGGGCTGTGGGTCCCCTGAAGAAAGGATGGGAGGAGGTTGACTCAAACTCTGCAAAACACAGCAGACCTTTGCCCAGGCCGTCCTGTTCCTGACTCTGGCTTGGTCCAAACTGAATGTATCAGACACTTCTTTTGAACCATTTCAGATCCCCTTGATTCACTTATCTCTTACTCCAGCCACTACAGCAATTCAACCTGATAGATTCTTGCCTATGCCACACTGGGGGCTGCACTGTTGATGCTCTACTTGGGGGCCATGCATGTGTAATTTGGTAGCACGTGGGCTTTAACATCCCACGTGGCGAACCTTTAACCAATGTGAGTTGGCAGCTAGTGGGTAAAGGTTTCTCCTTTTCTCCAGAAAAGACTACTCACCTGTGTAGTCCTAAGAGGCATTTCAAAGAATTTCTCAATCGGTTTTAAGGGACTGAGCAGCTAGGTGCCTTAAGCAGTGTCCAGTTTAACAATGTGTCCTTCCCCCATGGGCCCTTGTAAAGTACTTGCACAAAAGCTTCAGGCTCTGCTTTTTGGAGAACCAAGGCTAAGATAATGGTCCATGTTCAGATTTTTTTTTTTAATTTACTGATTTTAGAGAGATGAAGGGACTGAAATGGAGAAGCATCAATTCATTGTTCCATTTATTGGTTGCTTCTTGTATGTGCCCTGACCAGAGTTCGAACCCACCACCTTGGCATATCAGGACAACGCTCTAACCAACTGAGTAACCCCACCAAGGCTCATGCTCAGATTTCTGGCAAGTGAACAAACCCAACCTAAATACCACTATAAAAGCAACAGTTTGCTCGGCCGGTGTGGCTCATAAGTTGAGCCTATGTACACCTATGAACCAGGTCACAGTTTCATTCCCCACCAGGGCACTTGCCTAGGTTGTGGGCTCCATCAACAGTAGAGGGTGTGCAGGAGGCAGCCGATTGATGATTCTCTCCCATTATTGATGTATCTATCTATCTATCTATCTATCTATCTATCTATCTATCTCTTTCTCCTTCCCTCACTCCCTCCCTCCTTCTCTGTTCCTCTCTGAAATGAAGAAAAACATGTATTTTTTTAAAAAGACTAACTTGCTGTGCCTGGGTTGCCAACACTCATAGAACACTCCAGGCCAACCCCTCGAGCCTTGAAGATTACTAACAGTTTTAAGTCTCTAAAGCCTCTTCTCAGAGGTAATCCCTACACTTACTCTGTGAAGTCATATAAGTAAACTCAAGTTCTAAATGAGGAAACTGAGGCTCAAAGACTTGTTCGTGCAGCTACTACTAACTGCTATGGCTCTAAGATTCAAATCACGGTCTTCCAACTCCAAGTCTGAAATCTCTGCTGTTTTCTAATGTGATGAGCTACCCCATGGACCTTTAGGAACCACTGTGCTGGGATCTAAAGACAACTCGGTGAGCAATTTACACTGAGCAGCAGGAAGAGACGCCTGAAAGGTCTGGAAAAGCCGAGAAAAGTGCTACCCAGTGGTTGCTTCGGGGCTGAGCTGTTGGCACTGCCTCAGAAAGACGGCGGGTATGGAGCCACAGGGCTGTCGCACTGACAGACAAGCCCCCAAGTCAGCTGCATATCTGCTCTTGGGCCCCTTGAAGCTCCAACTCCTGCCCTGTCAGCTGCAGGTGCCTTGAGTAAGGACTATCCTTCCCTCCTTATTCTTTTTTTTCTTTCTTTCTTTCCCTCGCTATTCTTAATAGCCAAAAGGGGAACCTTCCTTCCGGCAGTTAGGGGCCCTGAGGGAATCTGAGGCTGGGCAAAGGGCCCAGAGTGTCAGTTCCCATCACAGTCCAGCATGAGTCACCACACACGCAGCCAGGTGAGTCATACAGGCTGACGGACACTCTGAGGACAGGGCACAGGGTGGCTGGGCACAGTGGACTGGAAAGGGGACGGAGGGCAAAAGAATCCACCTTTTGGACAGTCCCCCAGTGAGGTTTCTAGTGCTGATGTGAAGCTATTCTAGTAACAGGATCGCTGTTCCATCCTGGCTTTCAGTATACTCCTCCCTCCACTTTTCAACAGCCTTCCTCTCAGAAGCCCGTGGTCCTCATAGAATCCTGTCCCCTTCCTCTAAACATAGGTAAAGCCCCATCTTAACCTGATCACTCTTTTTTTCCCCAAAAGATATTTTATTGATTTTTTATGGAGGAAGGGAGAGGGATAGCTAGAAACATTGATGAGAGAAAAACATCAATCAACTGCCTCCTGCATACCCCCCTACTGGGGATGTACCCACAACCCAGGTAAATGCCCTTGACCGAAATCGAACCCATTACCCTTCAGTCCACAGGCCGATGCTCTATCCACTGAGCCAAACCAGTTAGGGCTTAACCTGATCACTCTTGTACTGCCCCAATAGTCACACTCTTTATGATTCTTCCCCCTATAATAACTTACTTATCTCCTTGCTATCCCTTACATTAGCTAATATACAAAACGAACATGATAACAATAACAAATGCAGGCAAGTCACTGGGTTACCTTTGTAAAGTTGTTACAAACTTGTTACTTAATCACTGGATTTGTAGTAAAAATAAACCCTTGGTTAGTATATTTTGGGGGGATACGTACATAGGTAGTAAAACCACAGGAAAGCAAAAGAATGGTGTAAACAAAACTCAGCCAAGTGGTTATCTCTTGGGAATCTGAATTAGGGACAGGTGCCCAAGGGATCTCAAAGTTGGGTACTCACACAGGAGTGCTCCGTTTTGATACCACTGAAAGTGTACATACATGTCTTAATCATTCTTTTGTATGTTAAGATGTATTTCACAATAATAAAAAAAATACTAAGAAAAACAAAGTGGGATAAGTCCTCGCTCACAGAGCTTTGTGGGGACCCTACGAGACACTGTGTGTGAATGTGGCTTGCACACTGTAAAATGTTAGAGGAACGTTTGTTATGGTTAGTTTTCTAAGTTAAGGCCTCTAGATAAATGTTACCGTGTAGTTGGAAGCTGTGAGGATTAGGCAATTCTGGCATACAGTATTGTGTGCAAAGAGGTAAAGGATAGTATAGGCCAGTGCCTTTATCATGAGGGGTGACTCCTCAGATCCTACTTTACAGCTAGACCAACTATGCATATTCCTTCTCTTAAGGTGACCAGCCCTCCAAAACAGACTGGAGACAGCTTGGGACGACAGCCAGCCAACTCTGCAAGGGCGCTGAATAGAAGGGAAAAGGGAGGGGGGTGTGGTGGGCAATCTTTGGCTTCCAAATTAGCCTACTCCGGTCCCACTCAGGTCCCAGAGGGACACTCACCGGCTGTCAGGACCTGTACTTTCCACGGGTGAGCATTCAGGGCCCGCTGGTATGCCCGCCAGAGTGCCATGCTTCCTGTCAAGCCGAGAGGAGAGGGGTTCAGCCCCACCGCCCCGCCCAAGTAAAGAGACGCTGGGCTTTTCCTCTCCCCCTCCCGCTTTCATTAGGCCATCCTCAGGGGCCTCAGGGGGAATGCCTCCTGGACAGCTTCCGGTCAGAGGGCCGCCTGGGGCCATCGGGTAAAACAGGGAGGCAGTGAGTGACTGTGAAATCCTGGTGGCAGCCTCCCGCCACCATATGCCAGCCCGGGAGCAGGGCCACCTCCGGGCCGCCGCCCCACGAGGCACTGCTGGGGAAAGGCTTGCTCCGGCTTTCCCCGGAGCCTGGCCGGGCCCCCAGACCCAGACTCTCAGTAGGAACCAGCCCGCATCCTTCCGGAGCCCAACTCCACACAGGAACCAGGGCTGGTCCCTCCTGGGAATGGAACTGTCACGTGCGCCCTGGGAGGACGCGGAGCAGACCGCGAGCCACTCACCTGGGCGCGAGCTCAGCCCCTCCACGTGACCTGGGCGGGCGGCGGGACTTCCGCCGCGAGCCCCGCCCCTTCCGCCTGTCTGGGCGGAGGCTTTCCCGGCCGCCGGCGCGGGGATGGGGGCGGCCTGGTTCGTCACTACTGCTCGTGGAGAGCGGCTCTGCTCGGTCGGAGCAGCTGGTTTCCCAGTTGTCCAAGCCCCGAGCCGGTGTTGGTGTGGCCGCGCCTGTCATACTCCCCACCTGGGTCCGGCCGGGTCTCCTCCAGCCCCTTCCCGCCCCGCCGCTCCAGCCTCCCGGAACTGGCCAAGGTCCTGACTTCGGTCTCCGTCTGTTTGGAAACTAAGTCAGTCAAGTGTGTGTGTTATTTGTCTCCAGGTTCTACTTTAGCCGCAATTGTGAGTTCCTGAGTGGGTGGGATTGGGTCTTGTTCATAGCTGTCTCCCTCATAGCAACTAGTTCAGTGCTTTGTCCACAATAACCTTTAGAATGCTGCATCAAGATCACTCCTGCATCGGGATTAGATACAGTGAGATTAGGTTACGAAGTTTAGGTACTGGTTTCTTTTTTTTTTCTTTTTTAAATGTTTTTATTGATTTTTTTAAGAGTAAGGGAGAAACATCGATGAGAGAGAAACATCCATCAGATGCCTCCTGCACGCCCCATCCTGAGATGGAGCAGGCAACCCAGTCATGTGCTCTGAGTGGGAATCAACCGGCAACCTTTCAGTGCAGGGGAGGATGCCCAACCCATTGAGCCACACTGGCTGGGCTAGGTGCTGGTTTCTTAACTAGTGGGCTGGGCAGCTTTGGTTATCACTAGACTTGAACTTCAAGGCTCCTTATCTGTGAAATAAGGGGGTTGGACTTTAACAAACTGGGCTGCAGGTTTACAGATGTTTGTGAGGATGGGTATCACTACAAAGTCTTCTTTATCTTAACTTGTTAAAAATATACTTATAGAAAGAGCCACTTTTAAACAAAAGGGCCCACAACTAAAAATGTTGGGGATTCGGTGATTTCCTAATTACCCTTTACTGCTCTAACATTCTAAAATTTTGTGAATATAGTGCAACATCCTCCTTAGGGATGTAGAAACTCTTACAAGATCCTTGACAATGGATTTGTTAGCCTTTGCTAACTCAGGAGGCAGCCATATCTGATTGTTTTTCAGGCTCTCTACCTGGCTAACTGCAGCCCCGATATACTCAATTCCTATATGATTAAGGCAGGGAGAATCCTGTCACAGATACTGGAGTAAGGAAGCAAGAGAATTCAATGTCACAAATCTTTAACTTTTTACAAGCAAAACACCATAATAAAATAATTTTCACTAGTAAGTAGGCCAAATGTGACAGGTTGGAAAATTGTGTTATGAACTCTGAATGTCCAGGTTAAAATCCCAGTACCATCACTTAGTTCCATGACTTTATTCAGACTGGTTAACTGCTCTAAATCTTCGTTTATCAAGTAAAATGGAGTAATACCTGCATCATATGATTAACTGACATATGCAAAGTACCCAAAAGAGACCAAGTGCTTAATAAACACTTGCTTAACCTCCTTCCTTTCTTCCCTTTTGGGAACACACGGAATAATTTTTACTGGAGAAATCGGGGAAGCCCCTTAGTGAAGGTGGAATTTGAGCTGGGATCTTGAGTCCTTAGGTGGAGAGGCCAGAAAAGGACACTTCCAGAGGAGGGACAAGTGTGAGAATAGCCACAGAAGTGCAGAAATCTATAAATAATACAAAGTGGATATATTGGGAGGGAAGGTTAGAAAGGGAGTGGCTGGAGAGAAAGGGGTTAGAGAAAGAACATAGGCTGAAAACATCTTCCTGGTTCTTTTTGAGGTCAAGACGGGCTGACACTCAGCAGCAGGGTTGCCAGCACCACCTACAGCCTCAATAGCCCCAGGTCCCATCCTTTTTACCCGACAGGGTGGTTTCAATAATGCCGTGTCAGGGACTACAGCGTAGGATATGCGGATTTCTCTGCAATGGCAGGCAGTTCCTTCTCAATCAGCTCAGAAAGCGAACTGGCACAACCTGAGCTGGCTCGCAATAGGATGGTGCAATCCTTGGCTCTTTTGCACTGACGTGGGCTGTGGTTCCTCTGCTACTAATGGTCTGGGTCTCCTCCAGGTCTGTTTCCTCTTCTGTACAGGAAGGAAACTGAAGCACTTCATCCCTTTCTTAAAGGTTTCTGACATATGATGAATTCCTTACACTTAAGAGGCAGAAAGCTATTCCCAGATATCTGGCCAATCAGTCTGGAGTGCCAGAGGGCTTTGTTCCAGGTAGGCACTAAACTAATTTCTACTCCCTTCAAATAGCAGCTGGCTGTGTCTTTTTCTCTAAAATAGTTGAAGTCATCTACTTACCTCCAAACCCCGATTGTACTCCTTTACATTCCAAGACTGTGATCTGCCTCTTTCTCATCACTGGGGTATGTCCTAGCTTAGGAAGCAATACTGCAGGCATGAGTCTGCAGCACCCCACAAAAGGATTTTAACAAGATGAGCTCTAACAATACAGCAGGTCCTCAAATAACCTCATTTCATTATATGAGATGCCAAATGAACGTAAATCTGGTTTATATCAACTTACCTATAATAAAATTGGTCTCCTTATATGTTGTTTAAAGTCACAGAATCTTGCCCCGGTTGGGTAGCTCAGTTGGTCAGAGCATTGACCCAATACACCAAGGCTGCGGGTTTGGTCTCAAGCCAGGGCACATAAAAGCAACCAATGAATGAATGAATGAATGAATGAAACAACAAGGAAAAAAAATCCATTCTTTCTCTCTCCCTCCCTATCTCTAAAAATCAAGACATTAACAAACTTAATACCTCTCTGTACAAAATCAATAAAATATATTTAAAAAAAAAAAAAAAAAAAAAAAAAAAAAAAAAAAAAAAAAAATGTCACACAAGCTATTGATAATAAGCGTGGACTTACTATACATGGCTTCTAAAATCTATATATAGGGTTGAAATAAAGTAGCTAAACATGTTTAATGTGACAGTATCATAAAGGATCAAAAATCATAACGTGTAAAAGAATGGTTAAGGTAACTGAAGATATTTAATCTAGAGAAGACTTGGGAAACACATGATAGCTATTTTAAACACTTAAAAGGGCAATCACAGGTGAGAATTACTAGAATTCCTAATACCAATGGTAAAATCTAGAGGTATACTCTGACTGGATATAAAGATTTCTAAAACAGGACTGTCTAGGAGTGTTCAAGTAGGGTCAGATGACCAGTGATCAGGAATATTTCCTAAGCAGGAGCAAGTAAGATCTGAACCACTGTTCTACCGGTAGTGTGTCTGTGGTGTTCCTCAGTTAAAAACTACTACAAGCAGCTTCAGTCCAACAACTTACTACCCCCGTCCCCATGGGCTTGCATGTTGGTTACTCTAAACAGGAAGCTGGGAAGGCAGTAATACTGGATCCTGCAATATAGTCAGAAGCCTTCATGCAGATACTCTTTCCAGTTTTCCAAACACCCACTCACATGTGGTCTCAAAAACACCCAGTACCTTTACTTAGCTTTACCCACTTCACAATATGCTCAATATGAGCAATTTGTCTCCCAAGCCTAGATCAGGCCTGAGTGTTTCTTGTGAGCCAGTTTTGGCTGAGGAGCCTTGAGAGTTTGTGGAGGAGAAGCCTCCAAACGTGATGACAGCTGAAATCCATGGGAGGAGAGGTATCTAAGGAATCCTGGGAGGCAGATCTAACGGTCCAGGCCCGGCAGCATCACTGTCCAAGAAGGCCCCAGTCTCTATGGTCTATGCGTGGGGCCATTTGTTCTTGGCAGACTTCATTCAAGGGTCTCGTGTGGACCGTGACTAGGGATTGGGCAGAAGGCGATGGGTGGTTGGAGGGAAGCTAGGCCCTTTAGCAGAAGAGGACGACTGGAACACAGCATTGAAGTGGGCTCGGCTTTCAAGCTGCATACGGTGGCCCAATGGGGAGGTGAGTCCACGGACAAAATGGATCCGAACCAGCCCTGACTGCCCCCCAGATACGAGCCATCCATACGAGTCCAGGTTTGGGCTGAAACGTACCTATGAAGAGAATAGAAAACAAGAGAGAGATGCTCATAGTTGGTGCTTTAGGGTGAGTGCCAGTTGTGAGAGAAAACACCTGGCCACAATCTGACAGGATAGGACCGTGAGAGGGTGAGAAGACAGTGACCAAAGTAAGTTCTTGAAGATGAGTTCTCCAGAGCTGTTTTCCCTCCTAAGCCCTCTTGGTTGCTTTTCATCTCCCATTTCATTGATCACAGGTCCAGAGTTGGGAGAAAATGAGAGTGAAGGGTGGAGAGGATAAGAGGCAAGGTTCTTACTTTATGAATAGCCTCCAGCTGCAGCCTGTCCAGACAGAGCTGAGCCTGCCCCTCTCCCTCCT